AGTTCGGAGACATCGCGGCGCCACTCTCGTTGACGGGTCTCCAAAGCAGCGACAGGTTGCAGACCTGCGTGAGAGACAGCGCAGGGTGTCTCGGGGCGGGGGAGGACGGTCTTGTGCAGCGTCTTCAGAGCACCGCGTGAGTACGAGGGGTGCGAAGACAGTGAACCAGCCTCGGGGCGGGGGAGGACGGTCTTGTGCAGCGTCTTCAGAGCACCGCGTGAGCACGAGGGCTGCGACTACCGCGATCACTCACTCCGTCGGGACGTTGTGGTGCCGTGTCCTCTCAGCGAGAACCCCATTATGTAGCGCCACACCTCGTGAGCTGTCCTGGTGTGAGCTGTGATCTGTGTGTCCAGCAGTCCGGTCCCGGTGCTACGGCCGGTGGCAGTGTGCCTCGTGTCGGCTCCCGAGCCAATCGTGTGCAGCGTGTGTGTGTGCGTGTGGGCCTGTCCTCCATGCTAGGAGGCGTGTAGCACTGGCTGACTGACGTGTCCTCTCGAGCGCTGGTTGGGAGAGAGAGGAAGGCGTGGTCCGCTTCTAGTGTCGCTGGGAGAGAGGAAGGCGTGGTCCGCTTCTAGTGTTGTGATGTTGGGAGAGAGGAAGGCGTGGTCCGCTTCTAGTGTTGTGTTGTTGGGAGAGAGCAAGGCGTGGTCCGCTTCTAGTGTTGTGTTGTTGGGAGAGGGGAAGGCGTGGTCCGCTTCTAGTGTCGCTGGGAGAGAGAGGAAGGCGTGGTCCGCTTCTAGTGTCGCTGGGAGAGAGGAAGGCGTGGTCCGCTTCTAGTGTCGCTGGGAGAGAGCAAGGCGTGGTCCGCTTCTAGTCGCTGGGAGAGAGAGCAAGGCGTGGTCCGCTTCTAGTGTCGCTCGCCCAGCACGCCAGCACTCTGGGTTCGGTACTCTGGGGGTATGGGACTTCTACTGTCGCTCGCCCAGCACGCCAGCACTCTGGGTTCGGTACTCTGGGGGTATGGGACTTCTACTGTCGCTCGCCCAGCAGGCCAGCACTCTGGGTTCGGTACTCTGGGGGTATGGGACTTCTACTGTCGCTCGCCCAGCAGGCCAGCACTCTGGGTTCGGTACTCTGGGGGTATGGGACTTCTACTGTCGCTCGCCCAGCAGGCCAGCACGACGAGCAGCCTCTAGTGGTCTCTAGTAGTCTCTAGTAGTCTCTAGTAGTCCAGTGGAGCAACCTCTAGTGTTCGCTTCTACTCTCGCTCGCCCAGCAGGCCAGCACGACGAGCAGCCTCTAGTAGTCTCCAGTAGTCTCCAGTAGTCCAGTGGAGCAACCTCTAGTGTTCGCTTCTAGTGCCGCTCACCCAGCAGGCCAGCACGACAAGCAGGAGCTCGAGCAGGTTGAGCACCGCCAGCAAGCCGTGCAGCCCGTACGGTACCTAGTCCCATACCCCCAGAGTGCCGAACCCAGCGTGGGTTCAGCCCCGCGGGCGGTGCGGTACGGCACCAGCAGCTGGACCAGGCGGAGGGCAATCAGCGCGACCTGCATCAAAGGCACAGCAGGGAGGGTTCGGGTACCGTGGGGGTAGGGGAGGGTGGGTTCGGGTACCGTGGGGGTAGGGGAGGGTGGGTTCGGGTACCGTGGGGGTAGGGGAGGGTAGGCGGCGCTACCGGGATGAGCGTGTAGGCCAGCTGCACCACGAGCAGCCGCCGCCTCATCTTGATGTTCAGCACGAGCTTGGCCAGGCGGAGGCACCTATGTATGTATGTAGTAAGGTGAAGAACAGTCAGGCACCTATGATCGTCATTGCTCAACGCTTGAGAGAGAGACATCACGATATTGACGACGTATGCTAACACGACTTCTGCTGGCAATGGCAGTAGTAGCAGGCGGAGGCACCACAGAATTCGTTGTGCATGAGTAATTAAGAGGCGGAGGTACCACAGCGTCCAGAAGATTCATGAACGAAGCAATGAGTAACGAGGAGTGAAGAGGCGGAAGGCACCACAGCGTCCAGAAGAACTCGAAGAGCAGCACAAACACCGCGTTGAGCGAGAGGGAGGCGATCGAGACGGCGCACCCTTCCTCGTGCCACCACGGGTAGATGAAGGCGATCTCCTCGCCGCCGCTGCCCGCCTCGTACTCCTCCGACACCCACGAAGCGTTGCAGCGCTGGTCCAGCGCGGCGTCGTCACACTCGAGCGGGATGGGCGGCAGCGGCAGGAAGAGCTTCGCTGCCGAGACCCCCTTCGCCTCCTCCGGCGACTCCTGGATGTAGCGGAGGTGCGGGTCGAGGGCGGTCGTGATCATCAGCGCGGACTGCAGCAGCGCGAACGGCAGCGCGACCACACACGCGCGCCGGAAGGGAGAGAGCCGGCGCAGCGCGCGGCAGTAGCGCGCGCCCTCGCCCGCCGTCTTGAGGCGGATCACCTGCGGGTGAGGGTTGGGGTGAGGGTTGGGGCGAGGGTTGGGGTGAGGGTTGGGGCGAGGGTTGGGGCGAGGTTGGGGCGAGGTTGGGGTGAGGGTTGGGGTTGGGGTCAGGGGTGGGGTCAGGCTTGGGGTCACGGGTAGTCTTCCGGCGGATCTTTCGGCGGGCCACCTCTCCGACGAGGGCGAGGAAGGCGGGCTCAGCGAGGCCGAGCGAGACGGAGAGGGTCACCTGGCAGACCAGCTCCTTGTCCCGCGTCAGCTCCACGCCCACCACGTCCGCTGCGCCGAGAACGTCCCAAAGCGCGACGTGCGAAAAGAAGACGGCGAGCATCCAGAGGATGCCGAGCATGCCGAGCGATGCGCGCGGTAGGTAGAGCTTGCCGCCGCCGCGCCGTCGCGCGCGCACCAGCACGTACACCCACACCGACAGCATCAGCAGCAGCATCAGGCCCGCGATGGCCACCTCCGAGACCGAGATGATGAACTGCAGCGGCTGGCGGTCGTCATCGAGCCAGTCGAAGGCCATCCAGCGGCCCCGCGAGGGCAGAGGGCCGCCGGCGCGCACTCGCCGCCCTCGCGCCCGGCGCGCCCGGCGAGCTCAGCGGCAGGCGAGCGCGCAGCGGCAGCGTTGGAAAAGAGAGCGCTCGACCTCCCTTCCCGAGAAAAAGAAGAAATCGCTCGGCGCGACCGCGCACCCCGGGGCGAGAATCTGCGAGAGACTGCGAAGAGAGATAGGAAGAGGCGGACGCCCAAGGGTGGGCGACGGCTAGCGCATCACACCCCTCTCCTTAAAATCCCTGTGTGGTGGCGGCGTGCCGTCCTCCCATCCCTCCCTTGGGTTGTCCGTTTTCTTTCTTTTTTACCCCGGGGCTAGGGCTCTCTAGCCCGTAACCCGATGCCGAGCGTCCGGCCAACTGGGTGCGCTTCTTAGCTCCGGTCCTGGACGTGAGGTTACTGACCGCACTCCAAGTGCTCCAAGTGCTAGCGCGCGCCCGAGTTTCGTATGGCGATCCGCCTCCACTCTTGTGTCACAGCAGACTGGCTCGAGGGCAGCCTCAAGAGCCGCGTCGTCAAGTCCGTCCTCAGCGCCGCGACAAAGTACGAGGTCAGCGCCGGCGGCTTCCAAGGGAGCTTCGACATGCTGCGGCTGGCCCTTCGCCGAAGCCCGATCCAGGCCCGCACCCCCGTCTCTTTCATCCACACGCCCCCCCTAATCACACGTGCCTCCGATCCGCAGCTCAACGTCGACGACAGCGAGCTGACGTACCTGCTCGACAAGCTCGAGAAGCTCGAGGTGCGTGCCAAGAGAGACTGTGAATCTCGTCATGCTGTTTGTTTCTCACCCCTGCCCCCTACCAACAGGAGCTGGCTGTGCTGAAGGACACATGGAAGGACGTGGCGGCCACTTGGATGTCGATCCTCGAGCTGCGACGCCAGATTAGCGTCGAGCGCGGCATCGCCGTCATCGACTGCATCGCGAGCGACCAGAAGGTTCGCTCCACTTCTCCCCTCCCGGCCGCTCCTCGTTCACAGTCACTGACTCGGTTGCCCTATTCCGTTCGCTAGGTGCTCGACGCGCTCGGCGCCGCCAAGGCGCTCTTCGACATCGAGGGCGACGCGCCGCCCGACATCTTGGCGCGCCGCTAGACAGAACTCGCCCTCTCTTTGTGACCGCAACAGCGACTGAGACTGGAACGATTGCCCTACACGGCGCGATAGACAGCCCCTCGTGACAGCGCCGCTCTCGGCCCTCCCTCCGCCTGCAGGCGCGGCTCAGCAAGGACACCGGCGGCCACATCCGCGCCAACGGCTACAGCTACCGCAAGAAGATCAACCTCGAGCTCGCGCGCATCCGCCGCGTGCGCGACCTGCAGATGCGCGGCGTGGCCCTCGTCGGGACGGCGATTGCGGCTGCGCTCATCTCGACCTTCAACTACCTCTACTCCGTCGCCGACGGCGTGGAGCCGTGGTGGCTGCCGCCGGCCGTCGTGCTCGGCGTCCTCTGCGTCCTCCTTCCCGCCGCGGCGGTCCTCGTCTACCTCCACCTCCTGCACAAGCGCAAGTCGGCGGGCTCGAGGCTGGGCAGCGGGCTCGGGCACGGCGCCTGAGCTTTCTCCACCGACCCCGGGAGGAGGGCCGCGCCTGGCCCTTAGTTCCCTCTCTGCCGCCGCCGCGGCCTGTGCAAGCCTTGCCTGAGGGCTCGAGGCTGGGCGCGGCGGGCGCACAGGCGCTACGGACCTGAACGCGCGGGAAACGGGGATGTGACGCACTCTAGCGCGTCTAGGCTCTGGGCATGTCCGTCTAGGGTACCATACTTCCGGCCGGTGTGCTATGATGTAACATTTACTTCCGGGCCGGTGTGCGGGGAGCGAACCTTAACGACCGCCCAGAAGCTTTCTGAGCGAGCCAATCGGGCCAGGATCATCAGCATATGTCCCCTCCACAACATCGTGGGCGTTTGAGCCGTATTTGAGGAGCACCGCCACTCTGAAGTTCGGCCGGGTGGTCTGCAGACCCCCCCCCCCGGAGCAGCAGAGGCTCCGTGGGGTCGAAAAGTCGACGCTGGGAGTCGCACTCGTCAGGCCATCGCAGCACCACGCGGTCCGCACGTACCGCCCACATCCCCTCAACCGCTGAGAAGGCGCAGATCGACCGCAGGGCCGCGTAGTCGTTGTTAAGGAGCGGTTTTTGGAGCCGTATGAAGAGGTCCCAGACGGGCGAAGATGCGGTTTTTCGATGACCACGCGCGATGTGGTATCTGCTTTTTGCTAAAAACGGGCCGCCTAGTGCAGCATCACTAGTACAACACGCAACCACACTGAGAGCTCCACACTAGCCGGTATAGGCGAGCACCGGCGGCCTCACCGTCGCCGCTCGCGGCGGAGCCGACGGCGGAGCCACGGGCCGGTGCGACCTTTTGGGGGCCCATGAGCTCGCCGGGACGTCGCCGATGGCTCGGCGTGCCTCTTCCCGCCAGCGCGGGACGGCCTGCCTACAGGAGGGAGGGGGGGGAAGACGGAACTGAGCCCTAGGTTCGTGATCCCGTCGCCGTCAAGGGCTGGGAGAGGGGCATGTTGTGCGAGTATATGGGCCAAAAGCGTCGAAAATGTCCCAAAAAGCGTGTCTCGAGTTTGTGGCAGCCCCACAGCCGGCGCGCGCCGCCAGGAAGCACCGCTCGCGTGTCGGCGGCACTCCCTGGCACCCAGTGAGTGCCGCGAACCGACCAGACCGAACAGGCTCGATGCCGCGCTCGCTGTGGGGCTGCCACAAAGTCGCCGCCGAGCGTGCCACCGACGGCGTCCCGGCGGAGGTGATGGAGTGTGAGACCTGAGGCTGCGGAGGTGACGCCTGAGGTACCGGCCCGTGTACGGCGACTCAGCCGGCGACCGCCACGGGCTCAGACGAGACTTGTCGACGCGTTCCGGCTCAGCTTCACCGTGGTCATCGGGCGTCTGTCGACGTCAGGACCACCCATACAGCTCGCGGGTTTGAGGTCGCAAGAGCCAAGATGGTGGCGTTTGGACATCCCAACCATCACACAAGACAGCCTGTAGGTGATGGCGGGACGGCGCAGTGTTTGTGGCACTCGGCAGTAGGCACCCGCGGCACAGCCCCGCGGTCGGCTCTCGCGGGCTGCGGAACCGGCCCCAGAAGGGGACGGTCCGGGCGAGTGTGGCAGCTCCTGCGCTAGTATGGGCACCCTCTATCACAACACTACTGATCCTGGCCATTAGAGCTGCCAGGGATAGCGTCAGGAGCTGGTAGTAGTCAAAACCCCTCATATTTGAGACATCGTGGCCCATATACTCGCACAACGAGCCGAGGGGCGGCAAGCGACGGGCGGGTCCGCGACCTTTTGAGCGCCCATGAGCTCGCCGGGACGTCGCCGATGGCTCGGCGCGCCTCTTCCCGCCAGCACTAAACGGCCTACACACAGGGGGGGGGGGGGGGGGGGAGACGGAACTGAGCCCTAGGTTCGTGCAAAAGCGCCGGCAAAGGCTGGGAGAGGGGCGGCAAGCGACGGGCGGGTGAGCGACCTTTTGAGCGGTCATGAGCCGGCAGGGAGGCCGGCGATGGCTCGGCCAGCTCCTTCCCGGCGGGTTCTCGTCGGGCCGTGCCTGGTCGGCGGGGCTCGGGTGAGGTGAGCGGGCCCGGGAGTCGCATCTGCGCGTCCCCGGCAGTGGCAGTGTGGGGGTAGATGGGAAGTGCGGAGTTGGGAGGCAACGCGCAGCAACGCGCCTGTTTGATGGCCGCACGAGGCAAAGTTGGGCGCTCCGAGCGTCTTCTCGGCGGGAACGAACGGGCTGTGCATCGTCGGGGGGGGTGACTTAGAGGGAGGTGGTCGTGCGCTCACTCTGTCGGCCGCGCGCGAGGTGAATACTGGGTGTGAGGCGCGCAGGAGGCGAGGGTGGGCGCGCCGGCGGTCGAGCCGCCGAACAATTCGACGTCGCGCAGCTCCGCGCCGGCGGGGACGACCGAGTACATGATGTCGGCGGCGGTCACGCGACGAGGGAGAGCCGCAGGGGCCCTCTGAGAGCCAGGCGCCGAAAAGCGATGTGACCGGCGGTCGCGATCAGCCACCTGTGGGCGGTCATCGGGGTGGCGGTCAAGCGCTGCCAGGGTTGGATCCGGTGCGTCTCGTATCACTGGTGGGCTGGGTGTGCAGCAGCCGCGCTCAAAAAGAGGCAAAAAACTCGACAGCTACTTTGAGTGTCGACTCTTTCGACGCACCGTGCTCGGCCCTGCTGAAAAGCTGGCTGGTGGTCGCGCGCGGCGCGTCGGCGCCTCTCCAACTGGTTGGGCACCTCGGCTGGGTCCATCAGCACGAGGCCCGCCCCGTCGGGGAGCCCCGCGAGCGCATGGGCGGCCGGCGCGAGCGGAGAACGACGGGCCGAGATCGGCTGGTTTGGCACGAAAAGACGAAGTGGTCCACACGCTGAACAGAATGTTCAGTCAGTCAGGGAAACTCGCGAGTTTCCCGAGGGAAACTCGAGAGAAACAGAATAGAGCACCAAACACCCTCTGTTTTCCCTGGAAATTTCCGGAAACGCAAAGTGCTGGGGACCCTCTGCTTTCCTTTTTGTTTGCCGGAAAAGTATATACAGGCCAGCAAAAGCCTGTGCACAACCTACGCGCCAGAAAAACGGTCTATGCAGCCACGCGCTCCGCCTCCGGGCGCTGCCGAGCGTCACGTGTCGACTGTCGAGGGGCAAAACAGCGCGCGCGCGCGCGCCGCGGCGGCTGGCGGCTGGCGGCTGGCGGCTGGCGGCTTGGCGGCTGTCGGCTGTCGGCTGTCGGCTGTCGGCTGTTGATGCTCCGCGTGCAGTGGGCAGACGTATACCGCAATTAAATTTGACTTCGATTACGCGCGTCTGCTGTACACGACTACTCTAGGGTCCCGAGGCGGCCAGCTGTCCCTGCGAGGACCCCGCCGGGCCAATCCCCCAGAGCTCCCCTCCACCCGGCTTGCTCTTGCTCTAGCCCTCCCGGGACCGCTTCGCCGCAGTGCGCGCGGTCGGGCGAGGCAGCGGCCCGCGCCAGGACGAGTCGGACAGCTTCTCTTCGCACTCGTAGCCGTCGGCCGTGTAGCGCAGCGTGTGCGCCCGGCTCGCCTCGTCGAAGCGGAGCACCTCGGCCTTGTACCACGCGTCCTCCCCGTCCCAGTACACCTCGACCAGCCGCCCCACCAGCTCCTTCGCGCGCGACTTTGTCAGCGACGGCCCCTTCTCCGGCTGCCCCTGCGCCCTCTTCTCCGCCGCCTTCTTCTCCCTGCCCGCCGCGGCCGCCGCCTGCTCTCGGATCGACGCGGTCTCTCAGCGGTACCTCGGCTGTATCTCCGCTGTATCTCGGCTGTATCTCGGTGGTATCTCGGCGGTATCTCGGCGGTGTCTCGGCGGTCTCCTGCGCCGCGTCGCCGCCGAGCTCGATCGCCACGGAGCGGCTCTTGCAAGGCACGCCTACAGAAAGAAAGAAATAAGACGCAGCCTCGGAGACGAGATGGGAGTCAGGGACATGAACATGACAACAAACATGTGCATGCACATGTGCATGCACATGTGCATGTGCATGTGCATGTGCATGTGCATGTGCGTGTGCATGTGCGTGTGCATGTGTATGTGTCCCCGCCCTGCAAGATCGTGTGCGTGAGGGATCTTCAACCCGTCCCCTCACCCCTGACCACTCCCCGACACTAGAAGAGCGGCGCGAGATGGGGCTAACGCACGCCTGCCGGCGAGATGTACTTCCAATTCCCGCTCTTGCTGCCGCCAGCGTACATCTCGACCACCGTCCAGCCCGCCGCCGCCGCGCCGGCCCACAGCTTCGCGTCGACCGCGGTCGCCTCGAGCGCCACCAGCCCGCCCTCTGTCCGCCTCAGCTGCGCATCTCCCGGCAGCGAGGGTCGCTCCGCCGCCTTGCGCGCCTTGCCGCCGCCGCCGCCCTTCGCCACCGAAGGCCTCCCGCCGGCTCCGCCAGCCGCCGTCGACGCAGCCGCCGCCGCCGCCGCGTCGCCGGGTCTCGGAATGGCGCCTTTTGTCTGCAGCGCCTGAATGCGGCTGCGGATCGCCCCCCAGCTGCGCTTCATCGCCTTCTCGAGCGGCTCCTGGCCCTTGGGGCCGTGCCTCGCCACCAGCGCCGCGAGCTTGCGGTCGTCCTCCTCCGACCTGATCACGGCCAGAGGTGTGAAGAGGCGCTGTTCACAGCAGCCGCTCGCAGCTTGTCGTCCTCTGACCATGGGCGCGACGAGACGGTCAGCCGCATCGCCTAGTTAATTAATTCATGGGTCCTCTAATTAATCAAAAATTAATTAACGCGACGGTCAGCCGCATCGCCTAGTTAATTAATTCATCGATGGGTCCTCTAATTAATCAATCAATTAGTTAACGAGACGGTCAGCCGCATCGCCTCTTTGAGCGTGTGCGTGTCGTCCTTGTCGTCGCGCGCCGAGGGCTTCTTCCGCGGCGGCTCCAGGCCTACAAAGAAACACAAAACGTATATTTCTTTTTTCAGGTGGGCGGGCTTCTTCCGCGGCGGCCCCAGGCCTAAGAAGAAACACGTGCCGCCCGTGTTTCGTTTCCGGGTCGGCAGGCTTCTTCCGCGGCGGCCCTAGGCCGAGGTCGAGTGGGCCGGACCTGTTCACAGCTCGACGGTGTGGACAGCGCCTCTTCACACCTCGAGGTGTGAACGAGGGTTGGCGGGCGTTTACCCGTCCGCGGGCGGCGGCGGCGGCAGCAGCCCGGGCGGCGGCGGGAAGGCGCTCCCAACGAGGCGAGGGGTGCCCTTGCGGCGCGCGGCGAGGTCGTCGACAACGGACTGCTGCGTGAGCGACTGGCGCTGCCGCTCCGACAGGAGGTAGCCCTCGATGTCGGACGCGTCGTCGCTCTCGCCTGTCACCAATTAATTAATCCGAGTTCATTAATTTATTAAGGGACTCCTCGAGTCGGACGCATCGTCGCTCTCGCCTGCGGCGTGCGACGCCACCGCGCCGCCGATCCGCGCCAGCAGCGCAGAGCGGGCGACGCGGTGCGAGTCTGACGTCTCCGGTGCATCGCCGACTTCCTCCTCGATGCGCGAATACGCCACCGCCCGCCACAGCCGCCGGACCGCCGCAGCGCATAGAGGCGGCGGCAGCTTTCGCTGCGGCGCCGGGCCGTCCGCTGCGGCGCCGGCGGCGCAAGCGGCGCACGCGCGGTGTTCGTTGAGCGAGGCTGCAATCGCGTGCCAGTCGATCCGCCCCGTGTGCCGCGTGCAGACGTGCGCGTACACCTCCCGCAGCAGCTGCAGCGCCTGCTCGAGCAGGCCGCACCCGTCGCTCTCGCCGGCGCCGTCGGCGTCGCCGGCGTCGGTGTCGGCGGCGCCCCGCGTCGCAGGCGTCGGGAGCGGCACCGGCTGTGTTGCGACGTTCGTCGGAAGCCGGTTCGAGAATGGGAGCAGGTACATCGAGTCGCAGATCAGATCGCCGCGGGCGGCGGGCGCGTCGTCCGAGTCGCTGGAAATCTCGCCGCCGCGCTGCGGACGGCGAGGCGGGTCTGGCCGACGGTCGGCCAGCCGCGCGATCTCCGCGGTGGTGCGCCGATCGCACATGGACACCAAGATTGCGAACCGCTTCGCGCCACGCTTCGCGCGCCAATGATTTTTCTTGCGGCATGTCCGGCTGCCGCGATTAAATTCTTTTGACTGTTCGGGGGGGGGGGGGGCGGCCCCGTTTGCCGTTGCTCCGGCTCGGCCGCTTCTCTGCCTGCCAGACCAGATGGTCTTCGGGCAGGTCGTCATCGGCCCGCCCGGCTCCGGCAAGTCGACCTACTGCGAGGGCATGCGTCAGTACCTCGAGGCGGCGGGCCGCAGCGTCAGCGTGGTCAACCTGGACCCCGCGAACGACCTGCTGCCGTACGAGCCGGCCGCCGACATCCGCGAGCTCGTGAGCGTGGAGGGCGCCGCGTCGGCGTGCGGCCTCGGCCCGAACGGCGCGCTGGTGTACTGCCTCGAGTACCTCGAGGCGAACCTCGACTGGCTCGAGGGCGCGCTGAGCCGCGCCGGCTCAGCGTCGTACGTGCTGCTCGACCTGCCGGGGCAGGTGGAGCTGTACACGCACTACCCAGTCGTCCGCAACGTGCTGCAGGGGCTTCAGCGGCGCGGCCACCGCCTGTGCTGCGTGCACCTCGTCGACGCGCACCATCGTAGAAGCGGAATACGTGATCATGTCTCCCGACCAGCGCCCGAGAGGACACGTGCTCCGCTGCATGCAGCCGTATTCGGCTGTACTCACTGTACGCAGGCCGCTCGTACTCACCCGGTACTCTGAAGACACGGCACAACACTGCATTCCCGCCCTGACGTCGGTGCTCCAGACCGTAGGCAGAAAGAAAGACAGAAAACAGACAACCCGAGGGAGGGGGATGGGAGGACGGCACGCCGCCACCACACAGGGATGTTAAGGAGAGGAGTGTGGTGCTAGCCGTCGCCCACCCTTGGGCGTCTGCCTCTTCCTCTCTCTCCCTTCGCAGACTCTCGAGATGTGGGGAGATGTGGGGAGATGTGGGGAGATATGGCTCGCCGATTCTCGCAGCGACAGACCGCAGGCGCACCACTGCTCCGACGCAGAGAAGTTCTTGTCGGTGCTGCTGGTCACGCTGTCAACCATGGTGCAGCTCGAGATGCCGCAGGTGAACCTGCTCTCCAAGCTGGATTTGGTCGAGGCGTACGGCCCGCTCCCCTAGAAGCGGATACGTATTCTTGTCTCCCAACCAGCGCTCGAGAGGACACTATTCAGCCGTATTCATCCGCATTCCGCTGTATTCGCTGTACTCCTATCCGTTGTCTTCACGCGGTGCTCTGAATACGCTGCGCAATACCGTATTCCCGCCCTGAAGTTGGCGTATTCAGCACGTAGGCCCGCTCCCCTTCAACCTCGACTTCTACACCGACGTGCTCGAGCCGGCTAGGAAGTGTCTCGGAAGTGTCTTGGAAGTGTCTCGGAAGAGTCTAGGAAGTGTCTAGGAAGTGTCTATAGGCTTCTGCCCCACCTGCAGGCTGCCGCTTATCCGCCGCCAGCGGCGACAGCGGGGCCGGCCGACAGCGGCGAAGCGGCGGCGCCGAGGCGGCGTGGGCTGGAGGGCTTCGCGGCGCGCCACTTGAAGCTGTCTGCCGCGATCTGCGAGCTGGTGGAGGACTTTGGCCTCGTGGGCTTCGGCGCGGTGGCGGTGGATGACTCGGAGACGATGGCGCGTGCGCTGCGCTCGATCGACAAGGCGAACGGCTACTGTTTTGGTGCGACCGAGGGGGCGCCCGCTGGCGTCTTCGGCTGCGCGGCGGCCGATCTCGACGGGGGACGACGAGAACAAGAAAAAGAAACGGCCACAGTGAGAGAGCTGTGAACAGGCGGCCGACCTCGAGTGGGACGACGAGCGCGTCGGCTCTCTGCAGGAGCGGTTCATGGGGGGAGGCGGCGGAGGAGGCGGAGGAGGCGGAGGCGACGACGGCGACGACGGCGACGGCGGCGACGGCGACGGCGGCGACGGCGGAGGCGGCGGAGGCGGAGGCGGCGGAGGCGGCGGCGGCGATGGCTTCGGTGGTGGAGGCGGCGGAGGCGGTGGAGGCGGGCGGGCGATGGCGCCCGAGGAGAGGCACATGACTGAGGAGGATTTGTTGCGCGAATTCTTGCCTCCCGGCCACCGGAAGCTGCGGCGGGCCGGGCTGGGCGGCGACGGCGGCGGCGGGCCATTGGGGTGATTGAGAGAGCACAACGTGTCTAGCACCTCTTCTGGACAGGCCTCTACGGACACTCGACGTGCTAGGGCCGGCTCGCGTCATTGAACTATGTTTTGGACCATTTTCAATTTCTCACTTTGGGCTAGTGCCATTTCATCACTCTGACACGCTAATCTTGAAAACGTCTCCAACGGAGCTCCGTGTTGCATCCAGCGCCCTCCCCCGCGCTCCCTGCGGCCATGGCCGATGATCCTAGTATGAGAGGTCATCTGGCTACCGCGAGAGCGACCCAACTCGTCGACATCGTCCGATGATGGTGCCTCAAAGTCAGCCTTCGGAGGCTATCGTGGGGTCGAGCCGGCAGTAGCCGTGACATGTGGTTCCACCACCCCTCGTAGGCTTTGCCTCTGATCGCCACCGTTCCCAGGCTGCCTAATGGGATGGAAAGGAAGGCTCGGCGAGCGTATAGAAGCGTGCTCGACCTCGACGTGGCAGCCTGCACGGCAGCGCTGGCGGGCGCGATGAGCGTCGTGCCACCTGACCCGAGACGGGTCGCAGGCGTCGTACTGAGCGCGTCGAGACCGTGTCCTGATGTGATCTGCACGGGTAAATCACGTCGGCGTCAAAGGAGCGACGTGCGACCTGTCAGAGCTTGATCTCCGATCTCAGCGGCGTCGAGTCGTCTCCGGCGCGCAACAAATGTACCTCCCCAGGACGCGCAGAAGGCAGCTGCGATCGGGGATAAAGCTCTGACAGGTCGCACGTCGCTCCTTTGACGCCGACGTGATTTACCCGTGCAGATCACATCAGGACACGGTCTCGACGCG